TGTGTGTATGGGGGGGTCGCACCTCTGCGGCCCGCCGTGCGTGGGGAGCTGTGCGGTGTGAGCAGCAACACCCTGTGGGGTGTGCGTGTGCCTTCTCCAGGCCCACTTGCTTATGAAGACCTTGGCCGTTCCTCCCCGTGCCCTGGTTCGGCTCTCTGCCACTGCCTGGGGCAGCCTGGCCTTGGGGTTCTGCAGCTGGAGGATGGGGTACCCCTTTGGGGAGCTGTTCTGCTGTTGAGCTGATTTCTCTCTGGAGTTGAAAAACTACATTTTCAGACGGTAGTCAAAGTCAAGAGGTAAATGTACCTCCTTAAGAGGTAAATGTCAGCTCTTCCTCTCTCAGACGCAGGCTTGTAACCGTGGAGGCCTGTTCAGCGGGACCTTGAAGCTTCTCCTTGGGAAGAGCTGGGGAGCGAGGGTGGGAAGCACATCTATGTGCTATGAGCAAGTGGTGCTGAGAGTCTCTGATATAGCCTGTGCTTCAGAAAACTCTGTGCTGAGCATCTCTTCTATGAGGAGAGGCTGAGAGCTGGGACTCTTCAGCCTGGAGAAGGCTCAGGGCTGTCCTATTAGTATGTACATGAAGGGAGGATGTAAGGGAGAACCAGGCTCTTCTCAGTGGTGCCTAGTAAAGGACCAAAAGCAATGGGCACAAATTGGAACACAGGAGGCTCCATGTCAACATCAGAAAATACTTTTTTCTGCTGTGAGGATGACCAAGTACTGGAGAAAGCTGCCTGGAGAGGTTATGGAGTCTCCATTCTTTGAGATACTCAAAAACCATCTGGACATGGTCCTGGGCGACTGCCTCTAGGTGGCTTTGCTGGAGCAGAGCAGTTGGACCTAATGTCTTCAAGAGGTCCCTTCCAACCTCAACAATTCTGTGATCCCTTTACCTGGAAGTCCTTGTGTAACAGTCTTCGCTGTGCAGGTGAGCAAGTTAGATCATAAAGGCCAGGAGGTGTTTAAAATCGAGGACCCTCTACCCTTGTGGCACACTGACATGTTTCCTCCTGTCACTAGGAAACAAGCCTGTAAGACGCAAGGCCAACAACAAAATCATGGCAACATCTGGTGGAACTGGCCGCTCTCCCCTCAGCATCCTACAAGATGATAATTCCCCAAGTGCTCCTGCCCCTCGCCAGGTAAAGCTTATTGTCATACTGCGGGAGGGAGAATGGGCTGAAAAACCACAAATTCTTCAATGCTGTGTTTTTTTAGGGCCCCAGTTTGGAACTGGGGTCTCCTAGGCCTGTAGAGCCTAGTGACTTCAGAAGTATTTTTCTGTGGGTCAGTTTTGTCCCTAGATGCATCTTGTTCAATGTCTGTATCCTTAGCCTTACCATGAGACATCAATGTGTCCTTTCTCTTCAGGCTGTAGAAAAAAGTCCCTCTTAAACATTGTTGCGAGAGAGCCAAAGCTTAATGTCCTGAAAATGGGCTGTGTTGCACTGAAAATTAACTAACTGCCACTTAACTTGTTTTACCCTTTATTTTTTGCTTCTTTTTTTTTTTATTTATTTCTCTAGGGTAAGAGGCATGTGTTGGGAGAGAACCTTGGGGAGAAGAAGGAGGTGACAGTGGATCTGAGCAGGAGCCTCAAATCTGGGAACTGTTCTTGGAGTGACTTGAACAAAGAGAACCATCAGTGTCCTTTTGTGGAGAACTAGATATTTACTTTTCCAAGATCTTACTGTAATTTGCTTCTATGTTTTGGGAGTCTTCTAGGGGCGAGAAATCCTTCAATAGACTGAAACTCCAGAATTGTGGTCGTTCTTCTCGCCTATCCCTGTTGAGGAAAGAGCACACTATATTTCTCTTTGCATCTTATGTACAGAACAGACTTTGAGTCTTCTATTGTATATCAGTTGTATTGATTTACTGTAGAGTTCTTATCTGTAGCAAATAAATTTGTATTAAACCTTTGCTTGACTGTATGTGTGTTCTGATAGGTCAGTAAGAGTTCCCTCTTTGCCCGGTGCAATGTTTTCTCTGGGGACAAGGACTCAGGAACAAATACTTCAACCTCATTAGCCCTAACACTCAGCTCTGTCCCCCGCCTGTAACATGCCACCATAGAGCTGTGCTGAGAAGGGTCTGTCCTTGAACCCATATACCTACAGAGTGGGCTGGGAAGCTGCAGCTCTGCAGGAGACTGAGGGATCTCGAGTCACTTCTGGAGTTCTGCTGCACCTACACTGGCCTGAAACTCGTATGTGAAGGACAGCAGCCTGTTACAAGGGTCTGGCATGAGGGTGGGATCCAAAATAGAATGCGATAGTAGGGTGTATTAATATCTTGACCTGTTCATAAGTCACTACACCCTGTTGACCTCCAACTCCCAGTAGCAGAGCCTTGGGACCCCAGGCTGCCGCTATGAGCCAACAAGTGGAACGGGGGATGAATGTAACAGCTGTCCCTTGCAATTGAGCTCAAATCTCCAAGGTTTGCCAAGGGTGCATTTTCAGCTCTCTATCCCGATTGTAGGACAGCAAGACTCGGGACTAACAGCCTCTTCTCAACAAAAACACTGGTGAGGAACACCATCCCCTGGGGACTTTGAGGTAGAGCAAGGCCTGCAGATGAAATGTTCTTTGGATGGGGTCAGCAGGCAGTAGTCAGAGGAGGACAATTAGGTTGGCAGTAGCTTGTTGCAATGTTGGAAAGAACACAGCCTGCAGTGCTTATGTAAGCTTTCTTTATTTGCCTGGGCTATGAAGATCTATTACAGATTTGAAAACTGGGGCTGATGGCTACTGGTTAGACAGGGTCATCACACAATGCAGGAGTGAGGCAAAAAGAGAAGGAACAGCAAGAAGCAGACAATAAATAAGAATAAATATAATATTCCCTGGTATTCTGGCAGGTCTGAGGGCTACCTTTCCCCCATTTATGCATAGATAAGACTTGAGCTAAGTCTTCCCCAACAGAAAATGAGCCCAATTTACACTACCTTTTTTGTTTGAGGTTGCACGATAGAAGTCTCAAACCCAGTACGTCTCTGAGGCTGTCTGCAGGGATACAGGACAGCTGCACAGAGAAACTGGGTAGAGTCAAACCGGGGACAGAGCTTAGTCTGGGACAGAGGCAGTGGATGAGGGGTCCTCTGAAGGATGGGTGCCAAGGTGGGTAGAGGCGTTTGAAGAAAGATGCAGGGTGTCTGAGCTGTACCGTAAAGTCCTGAGATAGAACAAACAGTGCTCTCTGCAGGTCTTCAAGCCTGCACGAGGCTGGAAACTGCTGGGCTTGTTGAGAGGTGGAGAGAAGGGCCCGTGTGTGTGATCCTTCTCCCTAGCTCCCCCTGCTCCCCCCTCCCCGACCTCTCCTTTCCCTTTCACTCTGGGAGACCCCTACAAGTGACCTGTGTCTAGAGACAAGCTGGAGTGGTAGGTAGGCGTTTCTGTTGTTCTCAGCTGACAATGCTGTTTGCGTGGGCTCGGGCTGTGGGCCGTGCTTCCGCTGCTCTTTCCCGCTCTGCTGCCGTCCTCAGTTCCAAATCTTGAGGAAGCTGTCCCAGGAGCCGGTGGCAACGGCCATGCCATCTGCCGTCACCCCCAGGCAGCTCACTCTGTTGTCATGGCCAGAAAGGATTCCTATGGGGGGAGAGAAGAGAGGTCAGGAAAAGAAGTGGGGCCTGGGAGAAACGAAGGGGTTGACCACGGTGAGGACACACATCGTTAGGCTGTGTACCTACATCCCTGTGTATCGTGCTGTCCATTCCTGCAGAACATGTTACCATCAATATGTGGTTAATAAGAACAAATGTGCAGAAGAACATTTGTGAATGACATTCAACCACCACCCATGGGACTGGCCAAAGAACAATGTTCTAGGGAAGATCCAGCTAGCTGAATCCTCATACAACTGCTTTCACCCTGGAGCGACGGTAGGACTAAGAAAGGATGGCTTCCTTGATAAGACTGAGAAATAGCAATGCCGTTGGTGGATGCATTATAAATTTTCAGAGGCTAGGGGCCACATCCGAAAGAAAACCTGCACTTATGTGCATTCTGTGTGTGAGCATCAGGGAGTATCCAAAGATGTTGGATGGAAGCCCAGGGAATGAAAGAGGGACCTCCAGGAGCCACTCACCCACACGCTCTGCTTTCAGCGAGTCCCAGATGTTGCAGTTGAAGTCATCATAACCAGCAAGCAAGAGGCGCCCACTGCGGGAGAAGGCGACTGATGTGATTCCGCAGATGATGCTCTCGTGAGAGTACACTATGAGCTCCTGGTCTGCCCGGAGGTCAAAGAGACGGCAGGTGGCATCATCTGAGCCGGTGCAGATGGCTTCACCATTAGGGAAGAACTGAGAAGGGCACATACCAGATTTTAATCAGGCTGTGCCTTACAGATTTCCTCAACTGTTCACCTCTCTGCTAACCACCAGCAAGACACGGAGGTAAGAAAACCCAGTGGGACAAGACACAGGATCATAAAAGTTGAGTCTGAAAAGGAACTGAAAGGAAGCTGATGCTTCTCCGAAGACCTAGTAAAGCCCTTCCACCTCAAGAAAGCAAATGACCTAGGGGCTAGAGCTATTGGAAGACATCCCAAGGTTTGAGGAAGGATTATTGTCTCTTTAACTCCAGCTGTTAGTTTGGGGCTTGACAAGTATCCACCCATTATCCCCCAGATGGGGTCTGGCATGATTCAGAGCTACGAGAGCCTTTCTCTGTCTGATCCTCATACCCCAACCTTCTCATACACAACCCTTTTCTGTGTCCTTGCTCTGAGGAGCGAAAAAGAGCTCCTCAGGAGCAGGTATGGCAGAAAACCATACGGCTGGCAGGGTAGCCATGGGCCAGGTGAGAAAAGCTGTGCTAACTGAAGTCAGTGGAGGGTGGTTCAAGCAGCAGACATTGCAGGAAGCTGGCAGACTCATTTGGTTAGCTACATGGGATTAAACTGACATGTTTCTTGTCCTGCCACCTCCAAGGTTCTGGTTTGACTCCTTGCCTCGGAGGGGGATACTTGCCCTCAAATGTCTGTGCTGCCTCCTGTGAGGATTTCGTCTTCAGAAGATCTCCCTGTGATCCCAAGTTCCCACCTCTGCTGTCTGGAGCTGACTGAGACCCTCAGCTGAGTTAGATATTCCTGCTTCCTCACTTGTGTCATGCGCCAGGGCTCCTGGAGCATGCCTGAACCATGGTTCTCAACAGCTGCTATGAGCAAAGCTGCACCAGCACCTGTGATAGGGTGCTGAGCTCCACAGATCATGGTGTACTGGCTGAGTCCAAGCAGTGCTTTGAGTCAGATCTAGATGTCCTGGTGCCCGGGAAGAGCCAGCCTCCAAACTTCAGTGAACTCAGGCCCTCCCTGCTGCAGGATGGATCATGGGGCCAAGGTCTTGCAAGACATTTGTTCCCCACCCCACTGTGACAGCTTCTTTCAACCTTGTCCCAAGACCCTGTTTCAGAGTTGGTCTACCCTCCATTTTCCATGCCTCCCCACCTCTGTGCAGATGGCATACATACACAGATGGCGTTGATATCGGACTCGTGCCCTGAGAAGGTCTGACGGCAGGTGCCCTCCCGCACATCCCACAGTTTGGCAGTAGCATCACAAGCCCCAGAGATGAAGAGTTTGAAGTCTGGGGAGACGGCCAAGCTCATACAGTCGCCGGTGTGTCCCAGGAACACAGTCTTCTGCTGCCCTGTCTCGATGTCCCATAGCGCACTGTGGGAGAGGAGAGAATTTCTCAGAGACAACCCATGCAGAACAGATGTAGAGCTGGGCTGAAGAGTTGTCCCACTCACAAACAAAAGGAGGGAAGCCATGGGCCTGGCTACAGCATGGGAAAACAGGCGAGAGTATCGCCAGAGTCAGTTTTATGCAACAGGAGGTATCTTCACAGCTGTTTCTGGTCATACTTTTGCCAAAGCAGAGTTAGACTAAAGCTGGGGGGGTGTGAGGTTTGACCGTATTCCCATAACTGCATCAGCTGAAGGGAATACTGAGAGGAGGTAAGAGGGACCCGCAGGCAAACAGCTGAAAAAGGTCTGCTATATCCATGCTTGTAGGACACATGGGCCATGTTCACTGGGGTCCCACATCACAACCAGGCAAAACCTTGATCTCTGCTGGAAATGTCACATCCTGACTCATCCTTGATCAAGAGGTTCTTCCAAAACAAGTGTTGGGATGGGGTGGGGGTGAATAAAGACTCAGCACTCCTCAGAGTCACAGCACAAGTGAGACCTGAGAGCCAGGAACCAAAGGATCCAGGCACTGGCTTTGCAGGTGTCTGCTGCACAGTGGGCAAGACTTGAGAAGTGGAGCGCGTATGTGGGCTCCACATAAATTTATGGTGTTTTCTGTTCTAGGGTGAACGACACTGTGCTTAGTCAGAGCTGACAACATAGTCCCTACTGCTTCACCAATAGACCTGCGTCTTGACCTGATCTCAACTGGCAAAAGAAGCACCTGTTCTGCCAAGGGAGGAAGAACAGATCTGGCTTCCTAAGGTGCTCTCTGTGGCATCCTCGTGTAGAAGCCATTTGTCCTTAGACTGCAGAGCAAAAAGACTGCACTTGCTGATGTGCGCCGTGCCTCAAAGAGCCAGAGGTCATGTCACTAGGATGCGGAAGATAATACTCACCATGTGGTATCTCCAGAGCTAGTCACAATATTGTTGTCATCAAGAAATCGGCAGCAGGAGAGGTAACCTGGGAAGTGGGAACAAGCAAATATGAGAAAGGGGGCAGGGCTAGAAGGGTGAAGTTTGGAAGCAGAGGGCACCCAGGTTGCAGGCAGGCAGCAGACACACCTGTATGAGCTGAGAGCTCCCTGCTCACTTTGACGTTGCCTTCACGAGTCTTGAGGTTGTAGATGGAGCACATGTTGTCAAGGCCCCCACAGGCTACAAAATTGCCCGAGGGGGCATAGGCACAGGTCATGACCCAGGAAGAACGCAAAGGGATGGCATGAACCTGCAAGGACAAGAAACCCTGTCAGGACTCTGGCAGCAGAGAGAGCAGGGCAAGGGCACGAGCTCTGAGGAGACCCACTCCAGCATCCCGCTTCGCTGCAGCCGCCTGACTCCTACCTTGTTAGTTGTGTACGTGTCCCACACAATCAGTTTCCCGTCTTGTGAGGCACTGACCAGAAGTCTGTGAGAGAGGAACAAGACCACGTTAGTAGCTCTCTTCCCATCAGAGCCTTCTCGCCCTTCATACCCGTGTGCTGCCCTGCATCCAGCAGGTCAAGCAGCGTGTCTCTCACTTGGAGTCTGTGGACCAGTGCATGGCGTAGATCTTGGCCAGGTGCCCACGCAGGGTCCTTCGGGTCCGCATCTGGATGCGACCAACAACCTCCACTCCAGACACAATCTGAGGAAAGAGTAGGGGCAGAGAAAAAGAAATAATATTGGACTGGCAGGAGCTTTACCGCTCCCCACATCTTTGCCTCCTAACTCTGCTTCCCAATGGGAGACAGTCTTCCTTGCGGTGGTGCTAGCTGACCCACACACACACTCACCTGCCCAGCCAGCCCTATCCCTTACCTGAGCAAGCGTTGTGTCTGCACAGGCTTTCCGGGCATCCTGGAGAAGAGACAAGAGCAGATGAGACAGAAAAAAGCTGTGTGATGAAGGCAGTGGCAACTGAAATTCAGGGGCATAGCCTGGGGGCTGCTACCAGTAGGAACTGTGGCTTTGCTGTGTTTGGACTGTGGCCAGCATAGGGGGATCCTGGTCTGTGACTAGGGCACCTTGGCACGAGTCAAACATCAGGAAGGTGAGCCAAAAGCTGGTCAGCCCCAATTTACCCATGCAATACCCTTTCCATGGATCCTCCTGCCTGGCAGAACACCAGCTTCCTTCCAGGCAGGGGAGGTCCTGGGGACACCCTACACTCTTTGGCTCGCTGCAGACACAATGTCAGTGGCCACTTCCTTCTCACTGCTGTAGTGTCCCCTCTTCTCTCCCTTCCCCTCCCTCTCTTCCCCCACTATGCTATGAAGATTTCCATTAGCACTTAAAGGGCTGTGCAGAACTGCAGAGGGCTCCAAGGATGTAGATGGACAAAGTTCAACTCCAAGTTGTGACTGAGGAGGAGAACTTGGGCACGGAGCGGGGGGGTGGGGGAGGTGGACATCACTCAGCAGTTTCATGACCGTTGCCAGCATTACCGCAATCTGCTTCTTCAGCTGCTCAGCCTCCTGCTTCATCTGTTCCATTTCCCCCATCTTTCTGACCTAGGGGTGGCTCCTCCACGCGGGGCAGCCTTGATTCTGGGGGAAAAAAAAATCGAAGGAGAAAGGTGTGAGGTAGAAAGGTAGAATATGAGGGCTCAGTTATGCAAATGTAGGCATCTCTGATAAAGGCTTAGTGACCATTTCTTGGCTGAATGCTTGGTAATGCCATGCTGTATCTGGTCAAAGCCCTTAGTATTTGGGAAGATTGTACTGGGCCTGATCAAATGTCCATTTGGTCTTGTATCCTGCTTACATGTACACTTGGAAGCTGAAGACCTCCAGAGCCTCTTGTTGAGGTTCTGGCCACACTTGTCCCCTCACCTCTTTATTTTTAACTTCTCCATTCCAAGCCCTACCAAGTCCTGGGTCCTTTTCATCAGGTTCTCCCTGTCCATGGCCAAGCTGTCCCCCTCGGCTCCAGGAGGAGGAAACTTGATGGAGGGAGCCAGGGAGTGCAGTGGCTATTTCCTATCATTTGACCTACGCAAAGCATCACCAGGCAGTGCCCAACAGCTTGTTGACCCTCAAGGAAATCTGGGGGCTTTTGAGGTGCTCTGTCAGGGTTCCCTTCTAGTTTTCCATCCTCCCCTCCACCCACCCACTCCCCACCCCAAAAAAAAAGGTGAGTGCCTAGGGAAGGATCTAAGAATAACACAAACAGATAGTGGTATTTCTCCTACTTTCCTATCCCCAGATTTTTAATTGATGTCCAAAGCTAGAGGCAGCATTACAGTGTGAAACCCTTGATGGATTTTTCTTCTATGCATTTGTCCACACAATTTTTGTGCCCATGTCAAAATTTGGCATCCTCAGTACTCCATGATGATGACTTCCACAGCGTAGTGGCGGGCTCTGCAAAGAAGTCCCTGGTTCTGTTACTCCCCAACGGCACTAGTTCCACTTGGTGGTCCCTGGCTTTTGAGTTGGAAGAATCAGCAAACAAATGGTCTCTCAGCATCACTTGGTATTTTATGGATCTTTGTCATATCTGTCTTCATCCATCTCTTTTCCAGACTGCAGAGCACACTTAGTCATTCCTCCCATGTAAGCCGTTACATCCTATTACCTCTGTTGTTCTCTAAGCCCTTTTCAGTTGTTTACAGAGTATAGATGATATGTTTTTGCAGAGAGAGCAGTGAACCAAAACTGTAATCCATATTCAAGATGCAGGTGCACCATATGATTATACAGCATCTCTGTTTTGTTCTCTCTTTCTTGTTATGTGCACTTAAAACTTCACTAGTGATTCTACCATCTTGTAGACAAATCTGGCCTTAATTGCTTCAATCTTTCTCCTGGGTAGGTGTGAGTGTCCAGACGTGCTCCAGGTGTTGTTCATGATTAGAACCAGTACTTCGCCCCAAGGCCAAGAAATGCTCCAGCAGCATCTGCACAATTTCTCCTAGTCGCTATGGGTCACGTCACCTTGATGCCTCTCTGGCCTGTTGCCTGAAGGACTTGTTTCTTCCAGCCAACGGGGCTTTGGGTCCTTCCATGCCAGGCTGCTGTCTTGCTGTGGGCAAGCCCATACAGATACCTTTCAGGTCCCACTTTTGCTCGCTGCTTCATAGATCTCTTCAGGTTTCCCTCCAGAACCCTTTCCCCCGAATGTCGCTGTGGCTTTCTTGGCTGAAGGATGGGGACAGACCAGCACCTGAGCTGGGTGTTTCCACTGCTTATTTCTTCTCTTGTTTTGACAGAACAGTGAAGAAGGAGTTCCTCCCAGCAAGGATGCATAGTTGCACCTGGTCGAGGGATGTTGGCCATGAAATCCCACCTGCATGCACTTCTCCTATTTTGGGAAGGGGCTGGGCACCCCATGCTGTCTCCGACAGACTGGGGAGATGCTGGGGAAGGCCTTACTGCTTTCAGTAGAAGGCTACACATCCTCCTTATCTTGTGGCATTTCCCCCTCAGCTTCAGTGTACAGTCGAGCTGTGGAGACTGTGTCCAGCTCTGGTCATTGCCTACCAGCGCACCAAGTGGCATACCTGAACTTCCAGCCACCCTGTGGAGACCAGCCCTACCATTGTGGTCCACACCTTCTTCTTTCTCAGTTTTCCCTAGGACTGATCCTACCTGCCCTCCATCAACCCTAAGCATTGGATTGCCTTTCCCTTCTGGGCCACCTCTTCCCTTTGACGCCCTCCTTCCCGTCTCCTCTGCTTGGTGTCCAAGCTCTCCAACCTGTTATTCCACACACCTTTGGCCATCTGAGATCATTGTCCCTCCACCTGCCCTAATCTGTCTGTGTGGCCTTCTGATTTTACCCACCCAGACCTGCATGGAGATGGGAACCTTGTTCTCTCTTCCTTCCAGTTTCTGCCCCAGGTGAAGCTGGCTGCACATGTCCTCCTCACTGCCCATGGGATCCCCAGTCTTCCTTGCACCTCTCCTGCTTTTTTACCGTTCTCTTCCTTTCCCCAGGTGTTTCTTTCTCAACTCTGGCACAAGCACAGGAGCGCCAGTTCACAGGCACCTGCTCTGTCAAGTTGCACAACCAGATGAGGGGCTTTCGGAGCCAGTAGGCAGATCAAAGGGCAGGGGCACAATGTCGAGGACGGATAAAAAGGGCTAAATATAGAGAAGGTGCAGCTCAGGTTCAGGACTCTGTCCGAACCTTTAAATCCCTTTGAGGGAACGCTCTAAATGAAGTTGGGAATTGTTCTCAGCCTCAGAAGGACAAGGAGCCACAGATGAGTGATAATAATAGCTCCAGCTTCGCCTGTCACCTCCAGCCATCATGTCCCAGTGCAGCTTGTGGAGAGTGAGTTACCTGGTCCCCAGCGGAGTGCAGCTGCCTCCCAGGAGGACCATGGCAGGTGTGCAAAAAGAGCAGCTTGACATGGTCATGTAAATTTAGGACAGGAAATGGGGGAAACAAATAGGGGAAGAACAGAGGAAAGGAGAATGGAGTTGGGAGTCTGGCCAAGGCACGTTCCTGCCATGAACCAGCGGGACCTTGGGGATGCACATTTCTTGTGGGTCCACAGATCAGCTCATGGTTGCTCATGGTAGCTGCCCAACCTGGTTGTAATGGGAAAGGCTTCTAAATGGTGCACGCTCAGTGCTTTCTCAAAGTAAGGGGTCTTTCAGGTGGATGATAAGCAGTGGAGGAAACCAAGTCCTTTGGTATCTTTGAAACAGCAATTCACCACCACTCCCCAGCATTGCAAACAGCTACTGACAGGAGGACCTTGGCACCAGCACTTGTCCAGAGTTGTGCCTCCTACAAGCATCACCGAGGAGCACAGCACAACCAAACAGAGCTTGGGCTTAGCTGGTTCACGCCAGCCTTCTTCTCAGCTCTGCCTTGGTTGCTCTCACCCACTTCACAGCTCTTGGCTTTTGAAGCCACGTTTCATTTCTTCTGCTCTCCAACATCACTGTTCTCTCCCCTCCCGCCTTTTCTGACAAACTTGCTGGAGGCACCTGCTGTCGCCCTCCTGTCTGTGGGCAACCAGACCCACCCTGAGCCCTTGGGTGTCTGCTCATAGCAGACCAAATGCCTCTACTGTGGTGCGAGGCTGAGGAGGGTCTGGAATCATCCGCCTTCCACCTTCTGCTGCCACGCCATGACTTTTCAGGACAGTGGCTATGTCCCTTGCACCACGCCATGGCGGGGGCCCAGTCTGCACCCCAGGGGCTGTCACAGTGAGCATCACTCCCTTGTGGGGATGGGGGCACAAGTGATGGGTGGGAAGAAAGGGGTGGCGAACTCCCTTATTTCCTATCCTCCGGACAGCTTCCCCCACGCTGCGGAGGGGATGGTCCCTCTGTGGGATCCTGCGAGAGGGCTGTAAATAGAAAAGGGAAAGGTGCAGGAGGGAGGACTGAGCATTGATAGGCAGCATCTCTGGGTCTCTGTGTAATCCCTGGCTGGCCTCGCATGCTCGCCCTGGTGACCCTGGGGTCCTTGCAGAGCCGGATACAGAGATGATCCCCCTCTCCTGTGATGGAGATCAAAGGCCAGGGTAAAATTACCCTGCTCTGCTCCTTGCTTTCTGAGGGCTCCTTCTCCATCCGGAGAAGCAGCCAGCTGCAAAGAGGTGTGCACAGGGGCGCACCGGGAGTGCAGGACCGTGTATGGGTAGCGAGTGCTAGGTCCTTCAGGGAAGGCATTGCCCTCCTGTTCTAGTCCGGAAACCGGTGAGATTTACCTGCCAAGGGAAGAATAAGCAACTCCATCCCGTGCAAAGCCCCTCACCATCACAAACACATCTCAGTGCTAACCACAACTCTTTCTCTGCTGTGATCTTCCCTCCCACATTCTCAGATGGGATCAGCTCATGTGCAAAAACTCCCCACAGCATCACACCAAGAAACCCAGGGTCCCAAGTGCCAGGCTCACCAAGGTGACCTCAGGCATCACAGCAAGGCAGCATCCTTACCGGGATCTGTAGAGCGCAGTGAGTCGCAGTCCCCCCTGGATGGGACCTTCACGGTCTGCCTCCTCTGCTGAGATTGGCTCCCCACCAGCCAGAAACCCCTTGTCCCCGTGCGTTCTCCAATCAGTCCTGCCGGTCCACCCAGCAGGTCCTTTGCTCCCTCTCCGCTCCTCAGCCTCTCCCAGGACTGATCTCCCCATGGGGAGCTGGAAGGCTGTGGACGGGAGGGGTTGGGGGAGGGCTGATTCCAGGAGCAGCGTCAGGCAAATTAAATCAGACACCAGAGACTTGGGGAAATCGGATTGGGACGTAATGCAAAGCAGGTGGATGGGGAGGGGTGAAAAGAGAGAGTATCACGCTGCTCCTGAAGGGAAAGAAACCATCACAGGCGGATTTGACTCCCTCTGTTTAAACCAGCAACAAACTAATAAAGTGAAGATTAGCCAGAACAGGCTAGGATTATCAGTCACTGGGGCAGGGCTTGCTGCACCTCACAGTCCACAGGAACTCACGTTTTCCCAGGAACAGCGTGCCACACGTGTCCTGGGCAGGGCGGGAAGAAGGATGCTGTCACCCACAGTGGCCCTGCCAAGGGAAAACCCA